GATGTTGCATAACACCCATCCATTCCCTTAAGGGGGTCACCAGCGCCTCATTCTTACCATTTCCCTGAGTTAAGACATCCAACTGTTTGCAGACCTGAAGGAAATTATTGCCAACTTTTTCGTATCTCTTGATCGCTGGTCTACTCGTGAAATATCCCGTCCAATAGGAGTGGGTGTTAGAGGCATACGGGAAGAAGTCATCTTTTTTGGTGGGGAAGGTATGGTTAGCCATATGCACGCCGTGTAAATAACAGGTAGGAGTCGAGTAAAAGACATTAATGTTGGATCCTTTGGACTTCCTTTGGTTGGCATATTTGATGAGTTTATCCATATTCTTGAACCACATGTTGGCGTCTTGATAGTAGAAGTCAGTGCCCATTGGGAAGAGTACATTGTTTGTGGCGTAATAGTTAGAGTACACCTTTGCGTACGTGAATAGTCTGTCCACAGTTTTATCCACGTTATAGTCCTCCGATTCCGGGTCATCGATGATCGGGTCGTCACTACCGCCATTGGCTAAGTCCCAGTTAAAGCCCGGGGCCGGACCTTTAGTTTGGGACATGAGTTCAGCAAATGGTTTAAATGTCATTATATTATTTATACCGTAAAAGTCAGTTAAATTATACATTTAGTTATAATTATAAAAATTTTTATAATTAAAAATATATTAAAGTTATAATGAACGCATACCGTACAAATGGTTTAAATGTCATTATATTATTTATACCGTAAAAGTCAGTTAAATTATACATTTAGTTATAATTATAATAATTTTTATAATTAAAAATATATATAAAGTTATAATGAACGCATACCGTAACCCATTTCCATGGCGTGTGTGAATATGTCTGAAGCACTTCCCAAGTCATCACTTCCCTGCCATATCAACTCCATGCTCTTCTCGGCCACTCTTTTCTTCTTGTCCTCATAGTCGAGACGAGCGAAGAACACGGCGTCGAAGCCTATCTGTGCGAAAATGGACGCCTGTTCTCGACTGTGACCAAAGGGGTCGATCTGCCACCCGATCTTTGGTATACCACACGTGCCAAACGCGTCCTGAAGACGTCGGTGACCCCATGTCATCTGATCCACAATGGACTGGTAGTGTGCGGCCGCCTCATCATTCATACACCAGCCACCGTTTATGAACTCCAATTGACCTAGGTGTGCAAATTATCTGGATTGTTAACCTTGCTTACATATACATGTAAGTTATGTCAAATTGTTTGTTAAACTTGTTTCAAAAACTGATTAGCTGTAAAATACATTAATCCACTCATAAGTGTCTCATTCCTGTCTAATCTCATTAATTTATCCCAAATTCTTTCCATTTATATAATTGTTACTAAACTTTGAGACATTGATTTGATTGTGTTTTATTGAATAATCACTTATTTTTCAAGTGTTTATGATTTGAACTCTCAATTGTCTCAAACAAACCGATGTGAAGGCTATTTGAGTGGAAAGTTCTGAAATGAGATCAACTGATAAAAGGATTAAGTGTTCAATCAGTTGTCAATTTCCTATCAATTTATACATGTGTGTAGTTGTTGACATATTTTGGAAATTTTTTACTTTCAGTCTTGATTAAATTATTTAATAGTAAATATTATCAAATAATATCATATTACTCTCGTTTAAAACAGCACAAATATTTTAGATACAGCTAATTTTTAAAAATATTTATCATAAAATATTTTTTAATTTATAAGTTTTAGTATTGTTTAATGTTTGAAGAAAATGATCGAGTAAAGGAAAGTGTAGTAAATTCTTTGCTCATTAATTCATTAAAATTAAAAACCAATTTTGTACTTATAAATTAGATTACATGATACATAATCAATACAATAGAAATTAATTAGATTCTACCATAAAATTAATTAGCTAATATTATACTTATGTTCAATAGTTTTTGCAATTGCAATTCAAGTTTTAAAGTTTTTTTTGAATATTAATTAAAACTAAGAATATCTTATAAATCAAATGACACATACCATCGTTAACCAACTTCTTGACCTTCTCCTGAAGCTCGGGTGTCTGTAATACCCACCACTTCCAGAAGAATGCCGTTTCAACGTATATGAACTTTCGGGTCTCGTTCTGCAGCAGCGACTGCACCACAGAATCGATGATATACTGAACGCCTGCCTTTTGAATGTTAGTTCGCGAGCCATAGAAGTATTGG